CACACACACACACCCGTCAGACTCACTGCAGACGCCCGGATCTGCAGAACAACACTGCGTCTCACACACCTGTCTGGAAACGAGACTTCAGCACGTCTGGAGGAATCGCCACGGCCCAGTTAAAGATCCCCGCCATCCCACCAGCGAACAGCACACTGGGAACGCTGAGCTCCGTCGGGCTGAACACACACACACACACACACATACACATACATAGGGCATGTTTGCGTATGTAATTATTAACAAGAGCCGTCATGTGATCCGACTGACCTCTTGCCCTCCGGCGTGAGCGTGTACTTCAGCCACTCGTACGTCATGAAGTACATCCCACTGGCTGGCACGTCTGAGACAGAGAGCGACAGCTGTCAATCATCTGACATCTGAACTCATTCATATGCTTTCATATGACTGTGAACTGCACAGACCCAGCAGTATGCAAACAAATAACATTTCTGGTGAAACGCTACAAATACAACCAGTGTTTTTTATTGCACCGATTCAATTTGAGGTCTGTTTAGCCATATCATTACATTTTATTATTTTATTGCGCTTATATGTGTCTGTAGATTTCAATCTTTAAAGAGTTTTTTCTCTTGCAAACACCAAACTACAGTTTTATTCCTCTCTATATTCTGAAGGCTTGTTCATATTTCATTCACACTGATTTATACATTTCACTCCTAAAAACACGGTGAAAATGTGTTTGTTTTCTGTCGGTTGACAGTATTTTCTGATTTATGGAGTAATAAAAAGAGAAATCCAGAATCCCCTCTGGAAAATGACAACAAAATCAAAAAGTTTGATCCTCAATTTATCCAAAGTTCAGATTTATGTTCTGGAAATGCACACAAATGAGTGCATACTTAATTAGATAATGCATCATTTGCATATTTTAATATATCATCTCAGAAAATGTGTACAAAAATGTCAAATGAAGCTTCACTTTCTGTCCAGTCACGTTGCGCGATTCACTTTGCGTGTTGAAATATTCGATTCCCCAGATCTTACTTTATGAATAAGTTTTAATTCGGACTTATTTTGTTACATTTTAGAAACCCAGTCATACAAGTAATATGAAGAATACAAATTATTTCTGAAAAATTCAATATTTGTCATATGCAATTCATATGAGTACATTATTCTTCTATTACATCATATTGATATTCGCACTGGTATTAAATTGCACAGTTTAATGGGTAAATGAATTGATCAGAAACTCAAACACACACACACACTGTTAGGCTTTTATTTGTGCTTGAATCGATCTGTGGAATAAGTGGTAGATGCCTCATCCTGCGGAGCGTCTTTCACAGGCTTTTGGCTGCTATATTTGTGATGAACCACCAGATGGCACTGTTTTCGAGACACTCGAAGCTTTGAATCTTTTCCCGAAACAGTCAGAGGAAAGCCTCAGTGCTTCATGAGGTTTAAAAGGGTCATATCCATCCCTACCCCCTACATATTTCACTGTGCGTGACATGATTTACACACAGCGTGTGTCTTCTCCAGTTCGTGCTCAGGTTGCTCATGAAAGCCGAAATGTGGCCAGATGTCAGCTTTTAAAGTAGTTGGAGCATTTTTAATTACACGCACTCGTGTCTCGCCTCACTCCGCCATTAGGCGCATTCGATTTGAAGCAGCGCTGCACAGGATGAGTTTATGACATCAACCGCGAAAGCATAAGGATACGTCTGCTCTCTTATCGCTCTCGCGGTACTTGGTCATACACCGATCCTTCTGCGCAGCGGCACTTCAAGCTGAACGCGCCTAATGTATGCTACGTAGCACGTATGCGACAAATGACGTCAGAAAAACATCAGTATGTTATTATAGGTTATGGTCTATTACTGAACCGATACCGAATCGTCCTCGTCTGCATCGAGATGCATCAAAGTAACGATTAATTTCCCGGATAAAGGAGGAGGGCTGGGTGTGGGGCCAGCGACCCCACCCCGTAAAAACCTCTGTTGCTACAGAAACGACAAGAAGTGATCTCTTTTGTGCTTTTGATGGTGGAGATGACTGCCGAACATGGATGACGGTGTCGGAACAAAGTCATTCGAAGGTCCGACCCCTGATGCACGGCAAGTTCCTCAATGCCAAGTCATCATTTCGATTCGCTACCTGGAACGTCCGGACATTATACCAAACCGGCAAATTGGCGCAACTCCTGGGAGAATTTGATCGCTATCATCTTGACATCCTTGGCATTG